CTAAACGAGGGCTATCTGCGCTAGCCGTCCCTAATTTAGCAGTGTAAGACTAGAGGGAGGGCAGCTAGTCATCACCATCTCTTCTTTAATATTAATTGTGTTGAAGTATGTTTTGTGGAGATATCATGTTTGCGCACTTTAGTGAATTTCAATAGAGTAAATAATGATACAATACAAATTTGATCATGAATATTAATTAGATTTATGTTCCCCAAACTCCCAGCAGATCGTTTGTTGCATTATTTTTACAGTATCGTAGTAGCAGAAACTGGTACACTCGGCACTATAAGTATACTCGCAGTAGTCAATCAACGTGTTAATCTATAGTTCAGTTGTAAAATAAATAAATATTGGTTGGGTTGGTTTTTTATACATTTCGCGCAAAGCAACACGAGGGCTACTGACTAATGGAAAACCAATCAACCACCAGTACCATTGCCAAAAGGGCTTTATTTGGTTTATTGAATGGTGTAAGAGGCCTGACTGACAGTTTTCTAAAGCGGCCAAAACTGAAAATACAGAGCTTGTTCTGTATTCTTACGTCTTGAGCACGAACCTCCTGCTCTGCAGCTTAACATGTTAGCCATAACACTACGCCCAGTCCAGTTCCAATAAAAAGTATTAGGGCGTGAACAACAACTGTAGAAGATTTTATCACTTGTAGATACATTGAAAACATGGCATCCATAATTACTGCATGAATAAGAAGCTAGATGTATGACTTTATACAGTTTATGTTATACATGTTTAAGTTTTCAATTATACATTCACTGTTTTCAAAATATTTATATATTTTTTGGTGAAACCAACTACTCACTGCAAAAAGTGTATAAAATAACAATAAGACTAAGGGAAATTGTTTCAAATATCAAGTTTAAAAATTCAGGATATGGTGATTAGGAAAATGTATATCCACCCTCACCCTCGAAATATGGGATAAATGTGGAAAATTAATAAACATTATAGCATGACATTAACATCTTCAGTCTCCAATTTCTGTAACAGAAAATTGAAATTTGTTAATCTGATAAATAAGGTTATTTATACGTACGTTATGTTAAAACTTTTTAAATATACAAGTCAGCAAGTCTCCAGAGAACTACCGTCGCGGTAGAATGGCATGCATCAGAACTACATTTTGACATTGTTTGGCATTTTGTGGGTAGTGTGTTGCTACCAAAAACAGGTCACTTTTGGAAAGGGTATGCAACAGTCCTTTTCGACACAAAATGTTCATGCACTCAGATCATAAAGATATGTTCAAATTGGTTATTTATAAACTTTCAAGATGGGGATATACTTTATACATAATAATATTGGAAAATTAAAGAAAATGGATCAACTTGAGACACCAGGACCATCCAGAAAAGACCAACAACAAATCGTACCCCAGCTATGGTAACCAACTGCAGTAAAAATCCAAGAACAGAAAGATCAGTGGCAAAAGCCATTCACATGCTCCAGGCAATATAATCAAGAATGATCTCCATATGGAAAAGCAACACAGGTCACGTGAACATAAGTTGCTTCCACAACATATTCAGGAGAGGAAGACCAACTGTATGAATGGTACCTAGCTGGGGCCGTCTGTGATGACACTCAATGAATTTTGTGTGTATGTGCAACTTATTAGTTGTAACAAGTCTCATGCCATTTTTTACTGACTAAAGAGTGAAAAACTTTTCGAAATGTGGTACACTGCATGTTGCAAAACCTTTTCAAAGGGATTCCTAATAATCACAGGATACTGCACCAGTGGCAAGTTGAGGATCAGGAGAGTAGATACAAAGGTCAAAATGAGCTCAGCTTACTATCAGATTAATGTTCTGGATCCTTTGTAGTCAAGATGAATTCAGCTTACCATCAGACAAATGTTCTGGACCCTTTGTACCACACATAAATACCAGCTTTGTATGAAAATGAGACCAATAGAGTATAGATTCACCAAGGTAAAGCTTCCATACCTCACATTCAACTGTAGCATACTTCAAGCAGTTGAAGAATAAATAAAACAGGTAGATATGTTGTAATAACATAGCGAGACTCCAAAATTGTTTTAATGTAATGTACCAAACCCTCTATACGTGTATATGTATCATAGACTGCACCTCATTTATTGTTATCAATCTATACACTGAAAAAACAATGTTCAGCAGTAACTGTAGGTGAAACACAATTCTTGTTTGTTTGGTGAATTTTATGTAAAGCTAATTTTGAAGTTATAAGACTAGAGGGAAGGCAGCTAGTGAACATCACCCACCTTCAACTCTTGGGCTACTCTTTACCAACGAATGGTAGGGTTGATCATCACATTACAATGACTGAAAGGCAAGCACGTTCTGTGACTGTGGGACACAATAAAATGAAATTTTGCAAATTAAATAAAAAAATTGTTTAAGTTTCGGTTTTGTTCTTAAGGTCAAGTTCTAAAACTACTATAGGTGAATTGCAAAGAAACATTCAACTATTAGTATTGGTCAGTTTGTAAGCAAGATATTACCTAGGATGGATATATTTTTTTCTTTTAGCAGTTCTATGAAGTCAGCTTTAAAAGTACGAAAGTGTGAGATTTTGGACTTCTGTAAATAAAAAAAGATAATTGTCAGCTTTTCGTAAAAAAGAGTAGTGCTAAAAGTAATTAAGATAATTCAACTTGAAAATAAATGTATTCTGTGATATTAAAACAATGGTTGAAACTATCCCATTTATACAAGTATAAAGCTATAGGAGATTTTATTTTAGAAAGTGATAATATGAAAAATTCAAAGATCCGTCTAACTCAATAAAACATACAAGTTTAGAAGATATGGGAGTCAAAGTTTATTTTTCCACAGGCAAATCCAAACATTTAATTTTTCCAACAATCACTAAAAACAAACAAAAAAAATGATAAATAACAAAAATAGCTATTTGACAGACCTTTCCATTGGAAAGGTCGGTGTTAATATCAGAAAACAGTATACCAATTGACACACAAATGTTACGAGTTCAGAGACCGGTATTTGCAAAAAAACAATCTAATCAAAGAAATTACTCCATTATAGTTAAAATTCCACAAATGAAATAGTGCACTTGTAATATATGCATGTGTGTGAATATATATATGAGAAAAGACCTGTATCTTTTACTCTCTGAACAATTAAATACTAGCAATTGTTAATACCTAATCAGCAAAAATAAACTAGGAAAGTTGAATACAATTATCAAAAACAATTATTAAAAACTGTGCTACAGTAATTTCTACTATAAATACTCTACAAAATAAAAAAAATTCAAACTAACATGACTATTCTACTAGCCAGGAATGTTGGGAAAATAAAGAGAAAATTACTTATTACCTTGCTTTAGCACGTGAAAATATCCAAGTAAAATACTTTACACCAACTAACATAACTACTTTACTAGACAGGAATGTTGTGAAAGTGAGGAGAAAATGACACAGGTGTTTTTGTGTGCTAATGCAGGATATTAAATAAAATACTTTACACTAACTGATGTTACAACATTTAAAACAAAATGATAATTAACAAACAAATTCACTAAACAATCTAGAACCTTATAGTTCAAAGCAGAAGTAACAGAAACATATCTACCATACTTTCTCTGGATGTTTTGAAAGCAATAGTTTTAGAGATATCTTCACACAACCTACAACAAAACGTTTATAATACAATGTACATACTTATTCAAAACATAACTGGAACATCACACTAGCAAGAGGTGGCACCAGATTAGCAGCAAGGTTATTTATTCTAACTGTTTCTACTGATATATAAGGTAAAAGTCATAACAAATAAAAGGATTCCAGCTTCCACCCACAGAAACTTTTACTACATGTATTTAAGTATAAACTTCAAAATAGTCATATGCTATTCATGTCGTTCATGGAAATTAACTTCACAAATTTACAGTAAACCTTGTATGTAGTTAGCACCATTCCTGAACACTAATAATATTTTCCTCAGCACAGGGATTTTATTTTATTTTTATGGTTTGCTTATGTATACATAGTCTCTTTCATGAATTGAATTAACACTCTTACAGTGTTTAAAATCTGAAAGTGTTGTCAGTTGGTTCAGCTCTGACAATGTTCTATCTGGCGATTAGTAACAGCAATTTCGTTACTCCTTTCAGACTGTGCAATCAACAATATTTGATGCCAAAGTTTTATGTTACTCCTTTCAGACTGTGAAATCAACAATATTTGATGCCAAAGTTTTATGTTATTCCTTTCAGACTGAGCAATCAACAATATTTGATGCCAAAGTTTTATGTTACTCCTTTCAGACTGTGCAATCAACAATATTTGATGCCAAAGTTTTATGTTACTCCTTTCAGACTGTGCAATCAACAATATTTGATGCCAAAGTTTTATGTTACTCCTTTCAGACTGAGCAATCAACAATATTTGATGCCAAAGTTGAATGTTACTCCTTTCAGACTGTGCAATCAACAATATTTGATGCCAAAGTTGAATGGTAGATTTAACATAAAGTGGACACATATAAGAAAAAAATCCATAAAATATATTTTTCAAAGGAAATGTATCTCTAAAACGGAAGAGTTTTAAATTTTGAAATGATAAGTAGAAATCACTATAATTTCAATTTGTGTTTGAAGCTTTAGTAAGTAGCTTTTAAAGACTGTTTCACAATTATTATGTGTCATTCCCAACTAAACTTTAAACATGTAGACAATGCTTTTTATACTTTGTGTTAGGGGTATTAGGTCTTTGTGATTACTGAATTATTATTTTTTGACCAAATATTTATGAAATTCTTTCAACTGTATGATATTTTGTCATGAACATTTAAACTATTTTAGCAACACTAGTAATAGCTTCTATCAAGCCATATTCATGAGAAAAGTTATAAGATTTTGTTTCAAACATCCAGGTACAAGATGATTATTTTGATTGCTAACCAAATTATTAAGAGTAAGCAAAATCCTCAGAGCTTTGGAAACTATTATTAATGATATAAACATAGCTCCCATTCATCTTTATTATTCTAGACATTAATATCAAATAGCTTTCAATAACTGGTCTAAGTTAAACTATTATTTTCAGATTTAAAAAGTTGAAACTTTGAATACATTAATAAAAATTCAGAAAATATCACTAATAAATTGGTGATGAACAGCTATTATGCAACACGCTTAAATAAATAGCATCCTCTTTTATCTTTTTATTCAAGTTTATAAACACGTTTTTGAAACAGGGCATTTTTAATGAAGCATTATATTTTACATAAACAGTCCTTTTACAACGACAGTATTTGTGAAGTTTCTGTGCATAAGTGAGTATATATGCAATGGAATCGCTAATTTAACTTAAATATTCAAAAATACTTCAGGCTTAGCTGATTTAACACAGCTGTTTTTGTTTCTGTTACAATGACTATGATTCTATGAAGCTACACCTAGTTTCTGTAGAGAAAGATGGGATACATTCTATGAGTTCAAATCAGCTGACATGCAGCTTTGTTAGGTGACTAGGGTTGACACTGGGAAGAATAAAGCCGATGGGGCAGGTTCACCGCAAGTCACCAATGTTTGTCTTAGAACCAAAGACTTTCAAAAACTGTTCTTCATATTCATTAATGTTGCGCTTCATGATATCCATACAAGGGCCTAACAAACGTTCAAATGCTTGCACATCCAAAACTGAAAGTAAAAACAAAATCATCAGTGCTTTGAAATATAAAATGACATTTTCATGGTCTTATTTGTATTAGATTGGCATAAAGTTTAAATAACAAATTATAATACAAATAGTTGAGATTCTTCAGTAAAAAATCTATGCCAATTTATGAAATATACATTTAAGGATTTCTTGCTTATTACATAAAATTCAAGATGCTGAAACTGGTGTATATGTCAAATGTCATATGGGTGGAAATTAAATTAAGAGATTAGAAGTGTATGTCTCAGGTTTTTATTTTGCAATATTTTGATATTTTCTATGGTTTCGAAATAATGTTTTACCTTAAACAATGTCTACCTGGTGATTATAGAATAAAGAACATTGTGCAAAGCAATTATTCCACTTATGAAATAATGTTTTATATTAAACAGGATCTATATGGTGACTAAAATAAAAAAAACATCATGCTAAGTAATCATTACAATTATAAAATAATGTTATATCTTAAATGATGACTATAGAGTAAAAACAACATATTAATAACTGTTCCAGATGTGCATTAATGTTCTGTCTTAAACAGGATTTGCATGGTGATTACAGAATAAACAAAATCATGGTTCTGTACATGTTATGTAACTGTTACAGAAATGATGTTACCATCTTTCAAAAATATGTACATATGGGAAGCAAAACCAAAGAATAACTGATATTGAATTTCACCACCTTGTGAACATAGGAAACTGTTTAAGAAGAAATTATGGTTATTGTTTTATTTTCACCACCCTGTGAACACGGGGAGCTGTTTAAGAAGAAATTATGGTTATTGTTTTATTTTCACCACCTTGTGAACACGGGGGAACTGTTTAAGAAGAAATTATGGTTATTGTTTTATTTTCACCACCCTGTGAACACGGGGAGCTGTTTAAGAAGAAATTATGGTTATTGTTTTATTTTCACCACCTTGTGAACACGGGGAGCTGTTTAAGAAGAAATTATGGTTATTGTTTTATTTTCACCACCTTGTGAACACAGGGAACTGTTTAAGAAGAAATTATGGTTATTGTTTTATTTGCCAGTTTTGATGATCAAGTTTCTCTTTTAATTCAAACAATTTTAACATGTTACACTTATATTAGTGTAGATAACTAAAGACATGTAACTACACATTTATCAAGGTTTGATCTAACAGGTCATGTTTTTTTGTTTTGTTTTAGCTCAAACCAATACAATAGGTTATCTGAACTCAAGCCACCATGGGAAATCAAACTCTATTTTAACACTGGAAGTAAATGTACTTCTGGCCCAAGGAGGGATGCTGTGTGACAGGGTCTTTTGGTTGTATGATCACAAAGTTATGAAAGTATACTTTGTTTAGCAATGAAAACCTTATTTTGACAGGGTCTCTTGGTTGTATGATCACAAAGTTATGAAAGTATACTTTGTTCAGCAATGAAAACCTTATTTTGACAGGGTCTCTTGGTTGTCTGATCAAAGTTATGATGGTATGCTTTGTTTAGACTGGTGTTCTAATCCAAATTCTGTAACTTTGAGGAGAAAACAAAATTTAAACACCAAAAAGACTGAAACCCCCATCCCTAATAATTAGACTGGTGTTCTAATCCAGATTTTCATTTCATTAGTTTCTTAATATATAGTAATCAACAAGAACCTTAATGTTTTGAATTAAGGATACGGCAACTTCATTTGGAAGGAGAAATGGGATATGTTGAGATAAGCTCTTTTGGTTGGTTTTAATTTTATTACAACAATCACAAAACAGCAAGATTGTACTAATTTTCAACAAATCTATGTTAGTTAAAAACATAACTTTGGAACATTCCACTAAAAATCTAATGGTCAATTCAAAACAAATACCCCCCCCCCCAAGGTTCTGCTAACTATCACTACAATTAACAACAACAAAAATGAATTAATAGAATAATGAGGTTAGCAACATTTGGGACTCAAATACCTTGTCCAGTAAGCAAAGTCACAGTACAAATATAGCGCCATCTTAGTTTCTATTTCTCAAGTATTTTACAAAGTTGCCCACTTTAAAATAGTTTTCTCTCTCTTGTAGGATTGTAACAATTAGGTTCTGAACTCAGCAAAGTACAGTAATATTTTTACAAGGGTGCACAATGTAATTAGTTCAAAAACGTAAGAAGATACTTACATGCTAATTTCACATCACCGACTGAATAGACAGAAGCAGCTCTAGGCTTATGAGTAACAAGAGCTAGTTCTGGAAAAGTAAAAATATAAATTTTGTAAACACTATTAGTTTGATGTATAAAAACCAAATTTTTTTTTATAAAGTTTAAAAAAAATGAAGCAAAAAAGCAAACAATTTATCATGATAACCAAGGTAAGTTTATACAACATTTATTTATGGCTAAAATAAATATCAAATTTCTCAATTACACTTCTAAAAAAAACAAACCCACAAATATAAGAGTTTAAGAGTTAAAACATGATATATATATTTTTTAATTTGGACAGCACAATAAAAAACATCTCCATGAGAAGACTGAAAGCAACAATCCCCCCCAAAAAACTATTTTCAAGCAAAATAATAAAAATGTGGTTAAAGTATAATGTTTTCTTTTTTCGTGTTTAGTAGTAGTTCTACATTAAAGCCTAAATGTGAAAGAATTGTCTTTCGTTTCTTACTACCCTTTGAGAAAATAACCTGAACTGCCCGAGCCAGACAAAAAAAAAAAAGAGAGAAAAAGAAGACTATATATTCTGTTGTGGTTTATCCTAAATTGTTTAATGCTGAAAATTTAATTATTAATAAATAAATATATAGACACACACATACAAATATTTGCATTGTTCTTTAGACAATTCCCTTTAGACATATATATATATATTAAATTTTAATTCACACAAAATTGTATATTATGCATATGAATAAATAGTGTTTATTTTTCTTACCTCCAAAGTACTGGCCTTTATTCAATTTAGATACTTCTTTTTCCTCTCCAGACTATCCATAAGAAACACACAGGGTTAAATTCATACCTTTCCAAAACTTATATAATTAATGCATCAAGTAATGTACCTGTTTCTGTTATGAAAATCCATATTTTAACTTGTAAGTCTTCAAGCTTAAATTAATGCATTTAATCCTCTCAACCTGATGTCTTATGCACAATGAAACATTAATATGTTGCATGTTATTTCATAGGATCGCATACAAATGCTCTTTACAATTTGTAGGAATCTATTACTTCCAACAATATTTTGCCACAAATTTTTTTCAGCTGGAGAGCCTTAAAGAACTTAAACTTAGGATCTTTCATGGAGGAAGGTCATAAGTATCACAGACAAAATATATTTATGTTCATACTTTATTCTGTCTAACTATTTGATTAAAAGTAAGAAGAAAAAAAATGTGAAACATTTAAAAAAACTATATAGCATGTAATATCTAGACTACTTTAATTTGCACAACAGTTTGGATAGGTTGTCTTTCTTTAGGAGTGTACAAAAAATAGAGCAAATGACATAAGGCCATTTATTTGGTCAAAGGAAAGTCATTCAAAGATCTTTGGGAAGATCAAAGAATATACTAATCCAAAGATATAATTCACCTAATAATAAAAACCTTTATCTCAAAGTGTAACCTTACAATTGTAGATAATACTAACCTAAATCATAACATACAAAACAGAAACAGCATAAGAATAGTTCTAGAACAGTTTTGTAGAGTTTTCAAGCAAAACACACTGGAATTGTTAATTAAGTTTCATCAATTTAGGACCTTCCTCCATGAAAGATCCTAAGTTTAAATTCTTTAAGGTTCTCTGACTAAAATAAAAAAAACACTCTGGAATTGTTAATTAAGTTTCATCAATCCCAGACTTACCAGTACTGTTGTACATAAAATTAAGTCAATGTATCAAATATTTTGCTCTTTTCCAAATACTTTATTAGCCTTAAGAACACTGCTGTGACCTCTGTAATTCTGAATTTTATTCTTTAGATGATATACAGAATATCTCCATTTATATATATATATATATATATATATATTATGAGTATCAATAACATTTTGGCATCACAGAGGCTGCATCATCAACACCTTTACACAGATGCACTAAAAATTGAATGGACAGTAATTCTATGCCATTTATTGAAACTGGGAGCTAACCACTTAAGTCAGAACAATTCAAGATGGCTGGAGGTGTGAATGGTGGGCGTTTTTTTTGTTTTTGTATTAAATAGGCCTTACTGAATCACTAAATGAAACTCGGCTTTGAGCATCAACAAAACCTCATCATTATGTAGACACTCTTGATAACTAATAAATCCAAATTTCTTACCTCGTTAACCATCACAATTCGAACAGTGCCACTCTCCACAAAATACATTCCATCTCCAACTTCACCCTTAATGAAATACAAAAAATACTACTTTTTCAAAATTCACACAATTAATAAATAGTTCAGTCAGTTTGATTTGAATTTTCTATGTAAAAAAATTTGTCCATCAAAAAAATAAAAGACTGTATCATTACAAAAATATTTGCTTTGAATTTTCTATGTGAAAAAATTGGTCCATCTGAAAAAAAAAGAAGAAAAAAGTCTCAACCAAAAACTTGACAAGCATTAGAATTCAAATTTTCAACCTGAGTGACACCTTGTGAACATGGGCTAAATAGCCAGGTCAGAGAGCTCTAAGATTCAGATATAACCATTCATAATTTTGAAAAACTGATCAGGTGAAGGTCAGCCAGCCATTTGAATTCATCACTAAAAGGGCTTTGCATCACTTTGAACAAAACAATGGTATTATCTGCCACTTATAATGCACCCTTAAATGAATATGCAAAGAGTGTTCAGTGGCATCATGTCTTAACATTGAGTCATTTGACTCACAGCCTGATGTACTAATCACTAGGTCTTAGAGGTGTTGAAAAGTATGTTATGTTTAGAATGGTGAATTAAGATTAAACTTTTCAATGTGCAATAATGCCTACCATAACAGGCAGAAAAGCAGTAATATATACAAATAAGTTTTAACAAACTATTTCTACATATGTATAGATAAAAACTAGTTACAGTGCTTAAGAAAATAAAACATAGTAAAGTGATATCTACTGCTATTCAAAGATACAAAAAACAATGCTTATGTAAGAGAGTATCGGGTTTTCCATTATCATTATAAGTAATTAAATAGAAGCTTTTCAAACTTTTTATTTGTAGTAGTAAAAAAAAACAACTTCTATGAACATACAAGACTAGGTAGTTGTATAAAATTTAATGGAACTCAATTGCCAGACTTCTTAAGAGTAGAAAAATTACTTACCTGTTTAATAATGGTTTCATCATCTTTGTAGGATTTCGGCATCAAAGCATCACATAAATTCATTCTTTCATATGGCTGAAAATCAATAATTGTTTCTGATAATGTTTTTGGTATTCCTAGGATTTACAAGCATCAAAAAGTAAACGTACAAAAATATACAAGTTTTTCTTTACCCAAAAGCAAAAGAATGTGTAAAATATAATTCCATTCTCATCATCCTTTAGTTTCTTTACAACAAAGAATCATTGAAGGAAGAGAACATAATTAAGTGCACAATTACATTCAATTCTAAGTTACACTTTTAGCTTTATTAAATAAAAAGTAATAAAGGCAAAGAACATAAAAGATGGAAATTTTTTATACACACATATGAAAAAAGAAAGAAAAAGCAGTCTAAAATATTCTTTAATTGGAAGTTTTCATAAAAGTTCTATCATGCCCTAAGGTCAAATTTTAGTATTTTAGAGGTTTTTTTTTTATTATTATTATTCAGAAGCAACTCAGTTGAGCAAATTTTATAACTTCTGGATATATTACTTCTTTTTAGCAATATCCTAACTGTTTATCCAAAATAAAGAAGATAATAATAAGTAAATTTTGCACTTGTACTCCTGGTATACTTAAAACAAAATGTGTTTAGTACAGGCTCCATAATATTGTTTGTTATCAGTCATTGCTCTCAATAGTTATCATTCTTTATAGAATCGTTTTATAAATTGTGTTGTCATAATTTTCACTGTTATATAGAATTTAACAGTTAACAGATACATTCTCATTTAGAGATATCTAAGATACATTAAATGTTTTCCTTTAACTATATCACAAATACAATTGTGATATATTGTATTTGGTAATATACTGTTGTTTTGTACAAATTGTGCAATGTGAAAGGGTAAAGGCTGTGACAAGTATATATCAACATTTTTTTTTTTTTGGGGGGGGGATAAAATTCCACAGGGACTAAAGAATGATGGTTTTAGTTAATATGTTGTGAGGTATTTAAATATGAAATATACATTCTAACATCAGTAATTCTAGGTAGAAGAAATAAAAAAACATTAATACTTCATTTTATTTTCTGCCTTATTTATAAAAAAATTTAAGATTGCTCAACTAGAACAAATTATTCAATTTTTCCAGTCTGTTAGTTTCTCTCTTTCTTTCATTCTATTCATAATTTAAGCAGACAATAATTACACAATGAAAATTTTGCATTTTCGATGTTAACCACTAGCTCACTCAATTTTTCTGGTAAAAGTCTTCTCATTAGTTCTTATGTTAGTTTTCTTCATAAAGTATCAACGTGTGTATTTCTTTCAATCATATCAGAGAACACAACAGTCGTACAATGAAAATGATGCAACTTCTATGTCAGCTACTAACACAGTTAAATTGTTTACTTAAAAAAAACATTCTCATGAGTTTTGGTGTTGGTTCTTTTCATAAAATAATTTGTTTCTTTCTTTTAACTGTATCTGGAAATTTCACTGCTAGAAAAGTTGACCATGCAAAATTTGCTGCCAGAAAAGATGACTGTATGAAATTTGCTGCTAGAAAAGATGACATATTAATTATAGAAAAGCTATGTGAAAGTCTACTGTTAGAAAAAATGACATATTAATTATAGAAAAGCTATGTGAAAGTCTAATGTTAGAAAAGATGACTGTATGAAATTTGCTGCTAGAAAAAATGACATATTAATTATAGAAAAGCTATGTGAAAGTCTACTGTTAGAAAAAGATGACTGTATGAAATTTGCTGCTAGAAAAAATGACATATTAATTATAGAAAAGCTATGTGAAAGTCTAATGTTAGAAAAGATGACTGTATGAAATTTGCTGCTAGAAAAGCCATGTGAAATTCTGAGGCTAGAAAAGTTAAGATAATAATTATTAAAAAGTTGGCCATGTGAAAGTCTACTGTTAGAAAATTTGGCCATGTAAAAGTTTGCTGCTAGAAAACTTGGTGTAAAAGAAGTTGATTATGTGAAAATTAGATCTTAGAAAACTTGACATATACAAAAGTTGATTGTATGAGAGTTTGCTGCTCGAAAACTTGACATTTATAAAATGTCCCCTGTTAAAGTTTGCTGCTCGAAAACTTGACATTTATAAAATGTCCCCTGTGAAAGTTTGGTGCTAGAAAACTTGACTGTAAGAATGCTGCTGTTAGAAAAGTTGACCAAATGAAAGTTTGCTGCTAGAAAAGTTGACATTTATAAATTTTTATCATGTGAAAGATTGTTTTCATAAAAATGTCGCTTGTCAAAATTTGGTGCTGGAAAACTTGACTGCGGGAGAGTTTGCTGCTAGAGAACTTGATGTCTAGAAAATTTACCTTGTGAATGTTTGCTGCAAGAAAAGTTAACCTAAGGAAATGTTAGTCATATGAAAGTTTGCTGCTAGAAAACGTGACTGTGTGAAAGTTTGCTGCTAGAAAATGTGACTGTGTGAAAGTTTGCTGCTTGAAAAGTTGACCGTGTGAAAGTTTGCTGCTTGAAAAGTTGACCGTGTGAAAGTTTGCTGCTTGAAAACGTGAATGTGTGAAAGTTTGCTGCTTGAAAACGTGAATGTGTGAAAGTTTGACCATGTGAAAGTTTGCTGCTAGAAAACGTGACCGTGTGAAAGTTTGCTGCTAGAAAACGTGACCGTGTGAAAGTTTGCTGCTAGAAAACGTGACCGTGTGAAAGTTTGCTGCTAGAAAAACGTGACCGTGTGAAAGTTTGCTGCTAGAAAAA